AAATCTTCTTTTTGCAGTCTAAGCACTTGACCTCTTGTCCTATGTATAATCTTGTTTGTGAATCGATTTCCAAACAATAGTTTGTATTGGCCCCGAACATATTTGTATAATGTTATCATGTCCCCTCTGAGGCGCTGTTTTTCTAAACTAAAGAGGTTTAAATTTGTTAACCTTTCTTCATAACTAAAATGTTCCATTCCTTTTAATAATTTTATAGCATGCTTCTGCACTCTTTCTAATGCCATAATATCCTTCTTTAGAACAGGTGCCCAAAATTGCACAGCATATTCAAGGTGTGGTCTTACCAGTTATTTATAATGAGGCAAAATGCTATGTCCAGCAGGGCTTTCTAGATTAGCTAGTTTATCACTCAGATGCAGTTCAACTAATCACATAGGATGAGAGGAATAGTTTTATAAATTACTAGCAGACATATTACGCCTACTGCCAAATTTAAAAGGATTTGTGAAACCTTAGGTGATGCTTGAACATGAGCCCCCCCCCCCCCAACGCTCATTTTGTGTTATATACTCCTATTTAAATGAGCATTTAAATGAGTGTAGCTAAACCACCCTTGAAATAGGTTTCGTAGGCAGAAACATTGAGTGTTGTAAGTCTCTCTCTGGCTACAAACCAGCTCTTTAACAGATATAACCTTTGACCAGATTTCCTTTGGGACCCTCTGCAATATTATCTGATGGTTGGCACCTATGTTGGTGCTCCCTTTCCCTCCCCTGAATTTGCGGGGGTGTGAGTAGTGGCTGGCCGCTCTTGCTCCTCGTATCTGCTGATGGCAGGCAGCCCTCTGGTGGGTCTCTGCTGCCTGCCCCATACTACAGGCCCTGATCTCCAGGTAAGTGGGTTAGGCAGCCATGAGGCCCCAGTAAGCACAAGGCCTTAGGCAGCCTCCTAATTGCCTAATTAGAGAGCCGTCTATGCTGCCCAGTCTAGGGCTTTGTAATATCACCGGCATACAGTGATCACATGAGAAGTCAGTGGCACATGGACATGCCTTTATCTCAGGATCTCTGCATGGGAAGAAAGGCATTTCCTAACTGTGCAAACAGAATGCAAATGCTGCTCATAAGTTGCACAGATCTAATGCTGAAAAAGAGGATTAAACAAATCTAAGTTTCATGTATCAGGTGTAGAGGGCAAGATTATAGCTGCAGAGATTTGCTATTTTCTATAGTTAAGTGGACACTTTAAGCACCAAATCAGTTTAAACTTAATGAAGTGGTATTGGTGTATAGGTCATGCCCCTAAAACCTTTCTGCTCAATGCTCTGCTATTTATGAGTGACAACTTTGTTTATGCAGCCGTAGCCACACCTCCCCTTGCTGGTACTCATTCAGCCTCCTACACATTTCCTGAAAAAGTAGTCTAAAGTAAAATTAATTTAGCTTTCCTTATTGCATAGTGTGTTTAATTTAGAATTTCTACTGGTCTGTCAATTGCCTGCTAGAGCCTACAGCTCCCTCATCTGGGTGATTAAAGTTTAATTAGCACAGTAGGGGATAAGAACTTTAAAAAAATCTGATTATCATGGAGACAATGTGAGTTACAGCAGGGGAGGGGTGGTTAGGGCTGCATAAAGATAAACAACAGTGGTTAAATCCATAAATGGCAGAGAATTGAGCATTGAGACTGCAGTGGCATGAGCTATACACCAAAATTGCTTCATTGAGATAAAGTTGTTGTCACGTCAAGTTCCATTCTGTGGAGATTTCTGGTCTTGGCTTCTGGTATCCAGTACTCTTTTACATTTTTAATTTTTTTTTATTTTTGCAGTACATGATGACGTGATTTGTACATACAAGCCTGAGGTACCCCAAAGGCAATCCTCTAGTGAGAACACATGCAATACAGCTGGGGTAATAGCATTTTTGTGGACAATTTTTTACATTATAACACGCGTAACATGGGATGACACTAGAACACAGACATGTTGGGTGTGCTTGTGCAGGTATGAGATCAGCGTGTGTGAATCGACATGACTGTGACTAAAGATGAGGCAAAGCCAATCCCGTACTCTTTTTGCTATTCTTGTTTAGTTTTTCTTGTTTTTTCTGGTTTTCTATTCTATGTCTGGTTTTCTTTATGGGTGTTCTGGGTTCATTCCTTTTTCCGTTCCTGGAATTCCCAGTCTCCTGGATTCCTTTAAATTTGAGTTTTTTGTCGCCATACCCATTCCTTTGCCATTAATTATTTTTGTTTCAGTCTGTTCCTGCAAGCAGTGGTCTCATTTCCTCTGCTCCTTTCTTTGCAAACCGCAGTGCATCTGCCCCCAGTTGCCATAACTTGACTGGGGTACTGGAACCTCTCCATCCTGGAGCAGACTAGGAGACTTGCTCTATCCACTCCCAGGGCCTGGATGACACAATGTGAATTCTCCATGCTGGAACAAGCTTGAACAGTGAGAATATAAAAGTACAAAAGTGAGAGCACACTGCATAACATAAATGCCACAAATTCTCGATTGATTTGGAATCTAAAAATATAAATGCAAACAGACCATATAATATAGTATAATATAGGTAATATTGTTAACACAGTAAAATATATATATATATATATATATATATATAGGTATATATATATATATATATATATATATAAATATATATACTTTGCTGGTCCAACTTACATGGTTCTGAGTGACTTAACAAAAGCTGGCTCAGAATAGTGGCATGGTATGGAGGATACAGCGGATGATAGTAGTGGGTCAGGATTTTCTTTTTGCCAATTTCAGTGAATTCAATCTTACACCATAAACGCTTCTAGGATGCATGAAATAGGTGAAGAAAATGTAAGTTTATTGGACAAAAATAAATAATAAAAACAACCTTACATAAAAACTAAACGTCCTCTTGTCCACTGATGCGTTTCGGCCATCGCCTTTCTCAAAAGTGGGTTGCTGCCATCATCCTCCATAGTCCTTCCTTTTAAAACCTTCAAATGTGGCGCCAATCTCCAAAGTCTATCCATAGTTCCGGTCCGTAGTTCTGCTTTCGTTATAACGCCACGTCTGGGATCTTACATGCTTTTGTCTCACAACATCATGACGTAATTGCGTAGGGATGTCCTGACGTAATTGCGCAGTTATGTCATTGCACAGATGCCGGTATCGGAGCTCTAAGCTCTCATTTCCACTATCTATTCTGGAACAATCTTGCGCCATTTTATTGGAGTCTATTGCATAAATATTCTACTTAGAAACTTAACTTTTAAATACATCATGAAAACACTATAAAAGTAGTTGTAATAAGCAAGGTATATATAAAATACATGTATAAAAATAAGACATTGTCAGCTTTAGTACATATTCAATAGATAACATAGAGGTTAAAAGGATGGTAAAAAGCATCCTAATTAATTATATAAAACAGATTAAATTAGTAAAGCCTATATAAAAGATAAAAAATATAATTAGTACAACATATTTTATATAAAGGAGTTTATTTCAAAATCTGCATTTAAGCCAGACTTGCTCTATCCACTCCCACGGACTGGACGACACAGTCGTGGGAGCTGGAGTCCTTACAAAGACTTTTCCCGCTGAATCCTCCACGCTGGAACAAGCTTTAACAGTAATTAGCCCTTTTCCCTCTCAGTAACCAGACAACACATAGTTATGGGAGTACAAACTGGAATGCTTTAATCTGGCAAGATGGCCTGCTTTTATAAAATAGGCCCTACAAGGGGTTTCCAATCCAACATTACAGGGAAATCCCTTCCTGGGTCCTCTGTGCCTGATAGATAATTACCTGAGCAAACACTTATAATTTAATTATCTCTCAGGGACAGAAAATATAACAATTTATAAAACACCCCAAAATACCCATAAAATACACGAAAACCCCACAAATGTCACACCCCCTGATAGCCCCGATTTGGGTGACCAACATATCCAAAAATCACCCAGATCGGTACAGGGGTTCGGTTTTTGACCAACCGCACATGTGGCTTAAGCCCAAAATAGTTCCATGAAATCAGTGCTAGCGGTCAGTCAATTTTGGTAACATAAAAACAAATGAAATACCAAACACAATCCATAATTACAATGTGTAACTTGTTCACCTCATCCATGTGAATGTTTCCACCAAACAGTTCCCTTCCAGGTTGTGTAGAGACGAACGCAGGCGATGATGGAAGTCCAGCGGTGTTCAAGAGTTTCAGTGTCCGATTTTAGTTCCATGAGCTCGATGCCCAAACACCGCTGCCTGCATTCGCAGGAACAAGATGACCGCCACTACGTGGTCGTTCATATGAACTGCGGCCATCCAAATGAACAATTATAACACTGAGGTGGAAATCGTTACAAGGCGTCAATTGGGTTCAACAAGCACACGGGTGGTCTCTAGTTCGTGCGGTTGTTCAGTTCCAGGATGGCATAGGGAAAATACACAAACCAAACCTTTTAAACTGTCTTTTACAGGTTTCCCTGAAGGGCCCATACCCTGTGGGTAGGGGGGTGGCAAGCAGGCTCATCGAGGAGCTTGTGGCAAACTCACATGGGAAGGGGAGTTTGTCACATACTCATATTATACACAGAGCTGGGCACAACACAAAGATACCCATTAAATAAACAAAATACACATACAACAGGCAGTGTTGAATAAAATTCAGAACTAAAACACACAGAGCTGGGCACAACGAGGAGATACTTTCATGAATTTAGGGAGACCCAACACGCAGAGTTTAAACTCATCATATAGGAATACATTTATATCGGACCTTAGAGTGTCCGGGCTTAAAGGAACACTATAGTTACCTGAACAACTTTAGCTTAATGACGCAGTTTTGGTGTATAGAACATGCCCCTGCAGCCTCACTGCTCAATCCTCTGCCATTTAGGAGTTAAATCCCTTTGTTTATGAACCCTAGTCACACCTCCCTGCATGTGACTTGCACAGCCTTCCATAAACATTTCCTGTAAAGAGAGCCCTATTTAGGCTTTCTTTATGGCAAGTTCTGTTTAATTAAGATTTCTTTATCCCCTGCTATGTTAATAGCTTGCTAGACCCTGCAAGAGCCTCCTGTATGTGATTAAAGTTCAATTTAGAGATTGAGATACAATTATTTAAGGTAAATTACATCTGTTTGAAAGTGAAAGCAGTTTTTTTTTCATGCAGGCTCTGTCAGTCATGGCCAGGGGAGGTGTGGCTAGGGCTGCATAAACAGAAACAAAGTGATTTAACTCCTAAATGACAGTGAATTGAGCAGTGAAATTGCAGGGGAATGATCTATACACTAAAACTGCTTTATTTAGCTAAAGTAATTTAGGTGACTATAGTGTTCAATTAACGAACAGAAAACAGGAAAAAGACAGGGACAATCCAATGCCAGGGAAACCAGAAATCAGAAATAGTGAGGTACAATAGCCGAGGCAAGGAGTACAGATAGGAGAACAGTTAATCATAGCCAGTATCAAAATTTAGATAGACAATTGGAGATATAAACGTGCTATTGGAAACCAAAACAGAACCAAAACAGGGCAGAACTAAGCCATAGCTAGCTCTTTATAATGTGGCTCCTTAATTAGGTAGCCACTTCCCCAAAACATTTCGATGTCATAAATGAGGCCCGCGTTCAGAATGCTGGAGGAGGAGAGAGTGCACAGAAGGTCTGCAGATCTTCCCCAGATTGTAACTCTGCGATTATAAAACAAGGTACCCTTACAGATACCAATATACACTGAACAAAATTATAAATGCAACACTTTTGTTTTCGCCCCCATTTGTTATGAGATGAACTCAAAGATCTAAGACTTTTTCTATGTGCAAAGGCCTATTTCTCTCAAATATTGTTTACAAATCTGTCTAAATGTGTGTTAGTGAGCACTTCTCCTTTGTCGAGATAATCCATCCACCTCACAGGTGTGGCATATCAAGATGCTGATTAGACAGCATGATTATTGCACAGGTGTCCCTTAGGCTGGCCACAATAAAAGGCCACTAAAAGGTGCAGTTTTACTGAATTGGGAGGTCTGGGGGGGGGGGGTCCAAAAACCAGTCAGTATCTGGTGTGACCACCATTTGCCTCATGCAGTGCAACACATCTCATTCGCATAGAGTTGATCAAGTTGTTGATTGTGGCCTGTGGAATGTTGGTCCATTCCTCTTCAATGGCTGTTCGAAGTTGCTGGATATTGGCAGGACCTGGAACACGCTGTCATATACGCCAAACCAGAGCATCCCAAACATGCTCAGTGGGTGACATATCCGATGAGTATGCTGGCCATGCAAGCATTCGCATGATTTTAGCTTCCAGGGATTGTGTACAGATCCTTGCAACATAGGGCTGTGCATTATCGTGCTGAAACATGAGATGATGGTCGTGGATGAATGACACAACAATGGGCCTCAGGATCTCATCACGGTATCTCTGTGCATTCAAAATGTCATCAATAAAACTCACCTGTGTTCTTTGTCCATAACATGCACCTGCCCATACCATAACCCCACCGCCACCATGGGCCACTTGATCCACAACGTTGATCTCAGCAAACCGCTCACCCACACGCTATACACGCTGTCTGCTATCTGCCCTGTACAGTGAAAACCACAATACATCCGTGAATAGAACACCTCTCCAAAGTGCCATCAAATGTGAGCATTTGCCCATCCAAGTCGGTTACGATGACGAACTGCAGTCAGATCGAGACCCCAATAAGGACAATGAGCATGCAGATGAACTTCCCTGGTTTCTGACAGTTTGTGCAGAAATTCTTTGGTTATGCAAAACGATTGTTGCAGCAACTGTATGGATGACTGGTCTCAGATGATCTTGGAGGTGAAGATGCTGGATATGGAGGTCCTGGGCTGGTGTGATTACACATGGTGTGTGGTTGTGAGGCTGGTTGGAAGTACTGCCAAATTCTCTGAAACGCGTTTGGAGATGGCTTATGGTAGAGAAATGAATATTCAATTCACGGGTACCAGCTCTGGTGGACATTCCTGCAGTCAGCATGCCAATTGCACGCTCCCTCAAAACCTGTGACATCTGTGGCATTGTGCTGTGTGATAAAACTGCATATTTTATTTTGGCCAGCTTAAGGCACACCTTTGCAATAATCATGCTGTCTAATCAGCATCTTGATATGCCACACATGTGAGGTGGATGGATCATCTCAGCAAAGGAGAAGTGATCATTAACACAGATTTAGACATATTTTTGAACAATATTTGAGAGAAATAGGCCTTTTTTGTACATAGAAATCTTTGAGTTCAGTTCATGAAAAATGCGGGGAAAAACTGTGTTGCGTTAATAATTTTGTTCAGTGTATATGCCCCACAGCCAGTGTCGCTTTGAAGAAATACACAGAACTGCAATACAGTTATACCCACACATTACTATGTCACTGTATAGTGCTCTAGCTCTCTATCTATCTCTAGCTCTCTGGCCCTCTCTGAGTCTCCAGCTCTCCCCTTTCTGATCTTCAGTAGTGCTCCTACTATTAAAACATTAGCTCACTAGTAAATATTGCTAGTTTTATGAAATATGTCAGCTACTTATGACTCACTGTTAGCTCTCAGCAAAGTGTGCATATGGATTAAGCAGCAGGATACTGATAGACTCCTTATTACCGTTGCAGCTGACAATATAAATTAATCCAAGAAGAAGCCTCAGATCTCATCTTTCTTAAAAGAAAATGGTTTGGACTGGGCAGCTGAGCATACACTATGAGCCGTATGCCCAGATGTTGTAAAACTACAACTCACATGATGCTTTGCATGCTCTTAGAATTCCTTTAGAATGACAAACCATCATGGAAGCTGTAGTTTTCAAACATTTGAGGATCTACCTATTTGCCCCCACCTTGGGTTATATAGATATACATATACTTATTTTAATGCATTCTCTTGCTTAATCAGACACTAAGGCTAATGCAGGGAAATAAAAATATAATGTTATACACAGGAACTGAAGCTGCTGTGCTCTCTATGTGCTACTGCCCGATTCTCACTCCTGTGGGTAGGTTAACCCCACACCCTGGTGCTAAGAGCCACTGAAGGCCCCTGAATACAAAGGCCAAAAGCATGCCTCCACTCATGGTTAGCTGACTCTGCTTCCCAAGTGATAACTGAATGAAGACCCCTGAAATATATGCTCAAATGAGACTAGGTATGTGTACAACCTGCTGAAACAGAACAGATTTGAAATCTGACCCATTTTTTTGACATGGCTAACTGATCTCAAGAAAGCTTATCCACACAACCACCACTAATGAGGTGAAATAGTCCTGCAAACTGCAAACCAAGTTCAGAGTTAGATTTATTATTTTTTATTTTGACACACACGTAGGCAATAGCTGGAGTATGTTAATCTGCTCTTCTCCATAATTTTAGATTATTCTCTCTTCCCCTCAGAAATAAAATATTGGTGGGACTCTGCCCTAAGTCCCCCTATGGTTGAACCTCCACTGGTTGTGTTGTTACTTACAGTATCCCTTTAAGTCACTCTAAGTACCTTAACTGTTAGACAAAGATTTATTATTTTTTATTTTGACACACACGTAGGCAATAGCTGGAGTATGTTAATCTGCTCTTCTCCATAATTTTAGATTATTCTCTCTTCCCCTCAGAAATAAAATATTGGTGGGACTCTGCCCTAAGTCCCCCTATGGTTGAACCTCCACTGGTTGTGTTGTTACTTACAGTATCCCTTTAAGTCACTCTAAGTACCTTAACTTGATTGGTATCATGGCCAATGTTATAGTGCAGTATCCAGAACTGTGTCTCCCTGGATGACTTTTAATATTGACAAACAGTATCCATTGTGTTTGTAATAAACACAACCATCAACAATTAATCACTAAAACAATTGCAATTAAAGAGTTGACTTTTCAGCTCCACACATATCTCAGAATGTGATTAAACTCAGATCTTTCATTATGACTTAAGTATTTATCCAAACGTTATGCTAAGGCAGGTGCTTTGTTCAGAAACAGAACCTATGCAAACATTCACCCAGAACTTAAACAAACATGTATTCAAACGTTATCCTAGAATTGGTGTTTTGTTCAGAAACAAACAAAACAACAAAAACTGTGTAAATTTTACAGTAAGGAAACAGAGTAAACAGCAAATGTGAATGTCAGTCATTTACGAAGATGATCTTTGCCCCAAATCCATACCAATTAATTCTATATTTTAAAATGCATTGTGATTCATTGCCCCATAATATTAACCACAAAGACTAGAAAAAAAGGAACTACTGTAACCTTTATCGACAGTTAGGACACAGCCATTCAGATAAAATGGAATGCATTAAATATATTTATTTGTTCTATTATATTTTAAGAATAATAACTATTAAGATGTATCACCATGCACTTTGCCAATATGATGTGAACAAAGTGATATTATGTGTACTTTGCTACCAGTTATGTTCCTAAATGACTTTGTTATGTAATCAATACCACTGCATTGTTCTCAAATCCATCATGGAATACATAGACACCATACACCTAATTTAACTTACATAATCTGTTAGAGCTAGCCATACAAGTAAGTGAGATTACTTCCAATTGTTTTATTTCATAATGTACAGACTGGAATCAGGTAATCGGTTAAAATTGGTAGAAAATAAAAAATATATGTTATATGTTATGAGTTAGACTTACAGTGTTATTTACTAAAGTGAGTGTTCAAGGTGAAATCAAAGGTCAGTACCCAAACTGGAAAATGATCTAAGCCAGCAATGCTTAAAGATCAGCTACTTTGACCTTAAATTTGAAAATCTTCTTGAATTCACCTTGAATTCTCAAGTTAGTGAATAACTTTAATAAGGTATTTTGTTTTAATTACTAACACTACTTATGTTCGCTCCAGTGCTGCCTTGCCTTTAGCTCTGTGGCTATTACATTGCTGTAACACTTGTTTTATGGTTGTTTCTGTGGTTGTAGAAAGTAATGATAAGTGTGTGCTGGAAAAAAAAAGTTTAAAGTGGTTGTTGTTTCCCAAATACATTTGTCTACAAGTTGATGGTTGGCCAGGGTGTGTTGTCTCATTTAGTCAAGGGTTAAGTACAAGGGGGTTAAGAAGGCAGAGCCCAACGAATTGGGGATCGGGGCAGCACACCCCCATCATTAAAGTAAGACTGTCATGCTGTACTTACCTTTTCCCAATTGCTTCCTCTTCTATTCCTCTTTCCTACTCTGTATTTCTTTTTTTTATTTTAATTTTTTAGTCTATTTCTAA